TTCGCGACCAAAATACAAAAAAGGCGAAGAAACAAAAGAATACCAAAACAATTTACTTTAAATGTAACCGCCATGTTCTTTTTTTTTAAGCCAGCGGTACAGGTAGGTACTTTTAATTCTCGCAAATATCAACACTGGGCAGTTGGCTCTACGAATTTTTCATTTGCCTGTTTACATAGTTCATTATTAGAAAGTAAATTAAAAAATTTAGAGAGACGACATTGGATGTTCATACTTACTTTGCAGATCTTGGCCGGGAAGAAGTCGCACGGTACTTAAATAACAAACTTTCCATGTTTGTTTTTTGAACGTAATGCCAACATTTCCGAGCACGTTTGAGAAAAAAATCTACATTTGTACGCTGAAAAACCAAGACGTTATTTTAGGTGATCATATAACTTTGAACAAGTTATATGATCACCTAAAACAACGTCTTGTTTCTTTCTTGTAATATGTTCTGATCCTATACACCCAAACAATCAATGGCAGCAACCATTTCACGTAATGAATTGAATTATGTTGTGATCGAACCCACCAAGTATCTTTTTTTTAAATAGAATAAGTGCGCATTTGACCAACTCACCAGATGGGAAGTGATGATGGAGCATGCGTGTGCATGCTCCATCGACGACCTAAATAATGCCTATTCACCTTCGCCTTGAAAAAGCTCAAGTTATAGAGTTCCACTCCATATCTGTTCACCATATAAATGTGGAAGCGTAACGCGTGCAAATCTTTGGAATATCCACATCACAGTGGTGGAACGCCAGTCTATGTCTAGTCCCCCGTTGGTGGAAAGGTGAAGTTGGAATTAAATGTGGAATTCCATAGCACATTCTTCGTGATAGGCGCATCTCTAAGCGATCTAGATCAAAGTCAGTGTTTTTCAGTGTAGGTATATCTATAGATATTTTATAGCACAATGCAAGAAATCACCTAGTTCCCGCCAGCACCTTTTACCTGTTCTATTTTAAATATAGGCATCTTTTCTGGAAAATATTACTTAGATTAAGATAAAACGTATGCCAATAATTTGCACTAAAACGACATTGAAGTCTACACTCTAATTGATAAAATTTTCAATTTAGGCCTACAGGAACCCAAGTTGATTCTTTAAAACTAATTTATTAGCAAAGTTCTAACATTTCTGTCGAAAAGTCTCAAAAGAGTTTAATAATTATCTTATTTTAAACATTCATTTAAAAAAATGTCATTGTAGTTAATAAACTAAACAAAGACGAGAGGATTCCCAGCGTGCTTCCTTGGGAATTGCATCTGAATAAAAAATGAATACTACGAATGCTCTTTGGTTAAAAATAACTAGATTTGTGTAGAGCATTCGGAGCGCTGTTTTTGTAGACATAGAACATTTTAAATATAGTAAGTTTTCTTGTCATTGTTTTATTCGGTCGATGGATTGATTCGATTGTTTGGGCGTTGACCATGAAAAAGAATATCGTGATATGGAGAAATAGAAAGTTCAATTACCTCTTCGTCTCATTTCCAACCCTCAACCAGCCAGCGTGGTGAATTATGGGCTAAAACCTGTAAATAGACCGTTTCCTAGAATTACGTTGTCAGTTGGCGATAAATAGGTCTTTCAGAGGGCCTACCACAACCTTTTAAAACAATATTACTCTAACCTTACATTGACTTTTCGAGTCATAACGCGCTTAAAGTAAGCTTATTGTAATGTTAAACCTATGATGTTTTATTGGCAGCTTTGTGACTATTCATTCACTGAATTCGTACTATGACGCGACTTTAACATTAAAGTAATACTGCTCTTATGTCAAATTTAGCAATCATAAAATAGTTACACGGATGCAATGGAAACAATATTATTTTCAGTTGTATTCTCTTAATATTGATTTGTAATGGTTAAAAGTTAAGTTGAACTTATATATTTACATACAAATCTTCAGTATTTTGTTTATTTTTTATTTATTAGGATATAGTAAATAACTTTTCATTAAATAAAAATACGCGATGTTTATTTCGTAAAATTATAACAGCGCCATCTATATGCTCCTTGGCGAAACTAACAGTTGACACTAGACTACAGTTCCGAATTCACAACTTGACTATCAAGACTCGGCTTGTTTTATTTATTTTTCTTCATGAAAATGCGCAATAATTATTGAAAACAACGTAATTTTAATAGATTTTATTATTACATACTTTTATTTTTTACCATTAAAAATTTTCTGAATGTAAATAACATTAAGTACTTAAACATTATTTATACTACGATAAGACGATTCGAAACATCAAAAAAGAAAGAGATGGGATTATGTAGTTAACATAGCGTTATCTCTTTCCTAGTTTTAGTAAGGAATAGACAATATTGTGAAAGCATTCGTTCTTTCAATCACTTTTGCAATAATACATTACTTGGTTGACAGGTTCGTCATGGTACAAATATAAGTAATATTATAATAAGCTTACTTTAAGCTTACATTGAAATAAAATTGTTATTGGAAAGGTTCTGGTAGGCCCCCAGGTAAACCTAATTTATTAACTGAATTTGAAACAGAATAAACTATGCAAAAACAATAAAATAAAGGGCGATAAAATATTTTTTATTATTTCATCAATATCGCTTTGTTATAGTATGAATAAACGGAACAGTTCTCTATCGTACGCTACTTACGTAACATAACACACAATGCAAGCATGCAGCAAAACAGTGATATTTGATAAATCATAATAAATACAATAGTCAAGAAAAACTTTCATAGATTTGTCACAGATGGCATAACAGTCGTTGAAAAAACCAAAAACGAAGATCTGCAACAAGCACATAGAAAAATTCGTAAGGTCTGATGGTTCGTTCCGTAGCTCATTTGGGACAGCGTCAGCCACGGTACGATGAAGGCGCCGATTCGAGTTGAATTTTTCTGTGTTCGATTTTTGTATTTATAATTAAAACAAACAAGTGGAGCAATTTCACAAAAAATAATAGAGTATCACGTTAGTTAAACATCGGATATTCAATGACTAAACTAACTAAAACTTGAAAATTAAAAAATTCCACATAAATACGTGAGTTATCCGTTAGTTTAGATAATATAAGCAGCCAAGGCGTAGAATTTCTTCCCGTATCATGTTTTAACTAAACGGTATTCATTCGGCGGTTGTGCAGAATTTTAAACAGATATCAAGTAGTGGTAAATATTCTCTGCAGCTAACATTACAGAAAGATGACTTACTAAAAAAATTAGCCTTTCTTTACAGTAATAGCGAAGATATATAGGATAAGGCGTGGATCGCGGCCGAAATAATCATGGAGATATCCAAGAGTCACCGCGAAACGTGCTCGCGCGTAGACGCGATTTGCGCGTAGATCCCGCTCGATTTAAATTATTCGAACTTAAATATTCGGTCAGTTAAACAGCGTAAAATACTTTTCGATGTTGTTGTACACGTCAGTGAATAAAATGTTATAATGTGAAATTATGATTGAAGTAAAATGTAAAGTTTACAGAGTTCTAGGATTTTTAATACATAAACCAAGCGAGGAATTAATAAATAGGAATTCAAGAATGATATAACATTTTAAAGTGATCCAGAGTTTGAAAAATTTACAACTATTACTATAAAAGATACCAACAAGTGTATTAAAAAGAAGTTAAACTTGTTCAAATGAAGTGTATTTAATAGATTAAGAAGCTTATCTTACGTAATATAAGGAAGTACGGTAAATTTGACAAAGCTAATTAGAATAATATCAATACTTAGTAAACAAAGTAAGAACATAGTGCTGTCTTCATAGTTTTAATATAAGCATCAAAATAACAGAAGTTTGTCGTGCCAAAGACGAGTGGGTGTGCTGTATATTCGTAAATGTGCTTTAAATAAATGCTATATACCTTTTTATACAGATATAAATATAATGGTGACTATAGTTGAAGGAAGGGCGAACAATAATTTTTTTAGATCTTTTTTGCCCGTAAGTTTGTGTTGAATTCCGTATATTTTTAATCCATATATTTTCCTTATGTTGTATAATTACACACGTTTTAAAACTAAAGTGGAAGTACGATAATTACAATTTGTAAAGTCAGAAATGTTCTTGTATAAAAATAGATTGCAGAGAGCACCTATTAACAAAAATTCTTTCTAAGCGCCAACGGACGTATATTCATAATAATATTAATATTTTTTCATTGAAGTACGCACTGGTAGCTAACGCAGTTTTTGCAAAACGAAGCGAAATTGCAACCAAATTCCACAAAGGTTTGCGAAAAAATTCCCTCCATCCCGCATAATTTTTATGCTAAAAGCAAAAGTTACGAACAAAAACTCTTTGTATTTATGATAAAGTAGCTTTGACCCATAACCTCAGTTGTTTTTCACGATAAAACATAAATAAGGCGCGTAAGTCTGCATACATAATGGGTGGTATATTTCCTTATTCTGCGGAACCTAAAACGAGCAAAGAGAGTCAATATACAGCAAGCATTAATACAATATTTTTAAATTTTGACAAACCGCCAACAATTCGTCCTTGGTCAAAATATGTTCTAGACAGCAAGGCGAGATTTTTAAGTAATTTAAATTTATTTTCATTTGCATAGTTTATTATGTTTTATTGAGCAAAGAATGAAAGAATTATCAACGGTGTGAACCGAAAATGCAAGAGAGATGAGAACAAATATTTACGTACAACTTTACCTTAGACCCAACAATACCCAGGCGAGTAGATAGGAATTTTAATTACGTAACTAACAGGTGTTGAGAAAATTAGAATAGTCCCCATGAGGGTTGAGTACAAGGTCATTGTTAATTTGGAAGTACTCTGGCCTTTCCCATTCCAAAATCCACAGTTAGGTTTCACTTTTACACATCGGCATAGCAAAGTAGCTTATAAGTCGCTAAAATCGTATCGAGAATTTAAACCCGTTAATATCTAAGTGGAATGTGCTATTTAATGTACTCTGCAATGCTTCATAAATATATTATTAGATTTTATAAAAGATTTTTTCTGTATATTTCAGGCTGTGAACTCTCCCCCACTACCGCACCGGGATATCTCAGCGGCACCGGGAGCTTACCGCCCGTTTAACGAAGAGTACGCCCCCGTACCGCACCGCGCTGACAGACCAGTTCCGAAAGAATCCGAAACTGAACGTAAGAAAGAAAAGAAGTGGTCTATCGGGAAACTATTCAGAAGAAAAAAGAAAGAAGATGACAGCGGTTCATCCTCTGAAACCGATGATGGCAACACTCGTTCGCCATCAAAGAAAAAAGTCAAGAAGAAGAAGAAAGCTCCCGCAGTTAATAATTTCGACCACATTGTGGTACGCGAATATAGGGATACGCGAAGGGCACAAAGTTTAGCCAAGCCAAATATTAGAGAAATTACAGACGATGGTGTCCTGTCAGATCCATCAGCCGGTTTCATCAATTATAGAGCCAAGGTGCATGAAATGCATGGAGCATCAAAAGAATCCCTCAGTTTAAGAGATGATAACTCTAGCAGATTAGCTAAAGGTGGTTTAGAAACACCATCAAGGAAAAAACGGAAGGGACGATTGAAAGCTCGTGTCGAAGCATTAAGAAACAGTATGAAGGGAGAATCGAGTAGCGATGAAGAGTCGTTAAAGTCCTCGAACTCTTCGTCAATGGTACGTTTTCGAAGTGATGACTCGTTAATGAGATCACGTGATGGTTCCTTAAGTAAAAGGTCAAGAAGTGCACGAACTGAAAGATACATCAAGAGATTGTCTCGGGATGAAGAAAACCAGCTAAATAAGGAAGCTGAACTTTTACAGCAGGGCTACACAAAAGCCGAAGTAGAAATGCTTACGAGGACCCCGACAAGTCAAAGTAGTGGCTACGGAACGTGCAAACGAGAGCAACCAAATATAATTCAACAAGAGCAACTTTACACTAATGATTTAAACCGCCGCCCCATGAAGTCTGAATCAATATCATCATTCCCATCAACCCAAAGTTACCCATCATCTATTAATTTTAATGCAAAAGTTAACAATGAGCACATTAACTACTCCATACAATACCAAAACAGCAACGCTAATAAAGAACCACTGTACGCTAATAATAACAGAGAAAGAAGTTTACCGTATCAGTACGAGAACCCTGCGAGCGTAATGTGCATCAAATTTCCCCTCGGAAATGTTACTAACATAAAAAGAGAAGAAAAAGCACCACCAGTACCACCTCCACGTGACATGCACAGAAAGGTCGCCACCCCTATTTCGATGTACTACGAAAATAACCCCGTAGTGGCCGACAGAATGGGAAATAGTCAAAATTTCGTACATGGTGTACCTAATAACGATTTCGAAAGAGTTATGAGACGTAGCCAAGAAAGATCCGTTAGTCACGGAGTAAATGGTTTACGACGACCCATATCGAACTCCGAGGACCATATCGCAATGCAAAACAACGAATACTTACAAAACTTCCAATATAGAAACGAACAACCTCGGCGACCGGCCTCAGTGTCTGCTGAACCCAATCATTATGTGCTTTATGCCAATACACCACCGTGGAGAAAGAAATACGAACAGACAACTACAGTTAAGCCGGAACCTGTTCAATTGAGACAGGATCTTTTGTACTTTGCTGATCAAAGCCCTAGGTCCCGAAGACCTATAAGCATTAAAACTAGTCAAAATGGTTACGATAACCAATACCTAAGTGACTCACAAGCGTCTCTAAATATAACTGATAATGTGTACCGAAGACCAAGGAATGCATCCGAATTTTGGAAAAGATTAGATGATGCTGAAAAGCAAAAACGTAAACAAAATATATTTTCAAATAGCCGAAGCAATAGCGACTATTCCAGTTCAACACAAATACATAGGACTCCGACTTACTTGGAACATAACAAACCAAAAGAAAATGGCATAACTAACAATGACCTTCAAAATAAAAACAAAACTAATTTTGCTTCTAAGTCACTGGATACCACGGATGGATCAAAAATGTGGAAAGCTACAACAGAATACAAGAGATCGGTCACAGTTAATCCAGCACCAAAAGTGACATCACCGATATCTAAGACTCACACACGGCATAAATCTGATACTTTTGTGCCAAGCACTTGTCAAATGCCATCTGACGATGAAAAGAATTCAGAAAGGCGGAAATCTACTAACCTCGACGACGCTCTCAATGAACTGGAAGCTATTTACAATAGCTTAGGGTTGGGTGACGAGGATCTATTAGACAGAGCCGAGCGCCGTGAACTAATGACTCCTAAATTCAACGAACATTATAATGACTGGAACGGCAACGACGACGATATACAATTAAGAAGCCAACCCACTACACCTTTGAGACGTATTTCAAGGAGATCGACATTGCCAGACAAATTGCAAGACGATATGGCATTCCGAAGAATGAACTCTTTGTCAAAAGAAAAGCCGGACTACAAAGAAGCACAAGCACAAATAAGCTATATGTTAGCTTCCCCTGTATACGTTCCATACGCATCAGATGATGATGTTCATTCTTCGCGAAATGAGCCCGATATAATTCATGACGATGTTGTGTACAGGAATATAAAACAAACAAATAATCGTCTCAAAACAATTGATCCTCAACCTCCGTTTGGAATACCTGTCGGACCAGTTTCTCCTGCTCCCCAGAGTGACTACTTACACGCAACGCCAGAAAATAAAGCACGTTCACGGTTTGTGAGTAGAAGATCACCTGATCTTGTATCAGATGATCTAGCTTACAGAAGTCTAAGGAAAGATAATAGGCATTCGTCACTGTTCAACGGAGATGAATACAACGGTCACATTAATAATAATTACAGTTACTCTGAATTTCCTTTTACTAAAGACACTCCATCCAATATAAAAAAGAAGAGAGCAGTAAGATCATTGTCAGCAAACATATTTACAATGATTCAGAAAGAGATTGACGATGCACTAAACATGAGCAAAATGGCGACCTTGCAAAAGACACACAGTAACAGTGATGTCATGAAACGCCTCCGTGAAACGTTTGAGAAAAATGACAACGATCAGGAACACTATCCGCGTAACAAGGTAAAACAAAGACACAATACTATCAGTCTATTTGTCAATAACACCCACACGCCTGCCCACCATTTTGCAAAAGACGATTCATTCATTCACAATGACGATAAATATCTCGCTAAACCTCCATCATGTGATAAGTCCAAAAGTTCATCACCATCAAACAGGTCACCACAAGCTTCTAAACGTTCTTCGAGAGATGAATTTCAACAGGTTCTTAGCATGCTTGCTCAAGAAGCTATGGATACCAGCAATAAACTAGGAGTAGCATTAGCTGAATTAGATAAGAACAGAAACAACACAGACAAAAAATCAGACATTCAAAGCAGAATATCCGATAGCAGACTAAATTTTTTGAATGGATTGACTAGTAAACCTGTGGACAATCTAATGCCAAAAGTTAAACACGTGAATGTTCACTCAGAAGTAATAACTGAACCTGTAAATAAACTATCCAACATTGTAAACGAGAGAGGAAAAGGCACTGAAGACAGTTTATTAGCTATATCGGATCAGTTATCAAAAGTTGAAGATCAACTGAAACACAGTTTCGAAAAAGAACTAAATTTCAACGATGAAAGCGTAAGGCTTTCTAGTTACATAGCAAACGCTGAAGATGAACTTAAGGCTAAGGAAACCACTGTAGCTTCTATAGACAATAAGGTAATACCTAATCTTGTAGCACTTAATGCGCAAAACGCTGTTAAAACCGAAAATATAAATATAAACAGAGACGAACATAACGATGAACCTCAACTAGTGTTACCAAAGTATAACTCTCTCAATCCTTTCTTGAACTCAGATGACAAAATAAAAGAAATCCACGAAATCAACGCATTCAAAGAACTGAAAGATGGCATTTCCGAACTAATAGCTGGAATATCTCAAGTCAATGAAAAATTATTTGTTCCTAAAGCCCCAAACCCTGAGACTGGATGTGTAAGTCCAGGAAAAATGACAGGTATCACTGAAGCCACAGAAAAACTAAACCAAGTGACACAAAACGCCAGTACACAAGAAATACCTTGTAGGGCTTCCGTAAATCTATCTATCTACGAAGACGATTTAGAAATTAAGAAAGACGCAGCTGATTCAACAGAATATAATTCATCAGAAGAGTTAGCGACGATATTTAAACTAGACGGTACTCGACTTCCTACTACGGCCGTTACAGACAACAAAATCGAACCCGCGAACGTAGTTCGTAGCGACCTGAGTTCGCCAAAGCTTGTCCAATCAATGAATCAGCAACTGAGACGATTCTCAGTCGACCACACAGATGAATGTACTCCTAGTCAAAGCTCACTGCCAACTAATGTAGTCCCGTGGAGGGCTAAACGGCAAAATCATAACTCACAAAAAGAAAGCAGAGGTACGTGGCCCATTTTCATGCATGGTGTTCAGTTTTCATTTTAACCATTTTGCATCCGGCTTTCTTGATTTTATTCACATGTTCTCACTTTCAATTTTTTTTTGGAATCGTTGGTAACCACAATTTAGGCGCGAGTGAAAGCTCCGAAATAAGTTCATGAATTTTTAAGTGAATAGGTTGGGTTCCTATTTCTAGAATAGTGAACGCGGAAAGAAGTAAACAAAATGAAGACTGCGTCAAAATTGATGTAGTGTGAAGAAATTACTCATCGAAGGTCAAGGATGTACCTCACCCATAAAGGATATACCTCATTCTTTTATGGTTACGTAATACAATTAGCATACCAAATCAGAAAGATACAAGATATACGAGCATTTATTTACCAACGATACCGAAAATAGAAAAGTAGCCAACACTAACGTTTAGTTTTTAGTTGTGTTTTTTGTTCCAACAGACGATAACACGCAGTTGAAGCGCGAATGGCACGACACTGGCACGTTGATGTTAGCTTGTTCGTACACCCTGATGTTCTCTCGGCATCTGGCCGACCTGGACTGGCTGACGTTGCTTGGATTGCTTCTAGCAATGGTCACCATCATCGCTATGCTGATTATTTAACCTTAGATGTTGTTTTAGTGCTTTTGATTCACTTCGCCGCCGGTTTTGCTGATGTACAATATTATGGCGGAGAGGGTATCATTAACAATATTATCATCGTGGCAAATGATACTATTACCTCTCTATCATCTCTCAAAGTTGACAAGAACGAAATTTAATTAAATATTACCACTGAGGTTCTGATGGAACACGATGAAAGATAAGTTATTATATCTGTGCTCAAACTAAAAGTAATTGTGGTCGGCGACTAAGTGAAACAAAGAAATACTTTGAGTAGTATTTAATTAGTTTGATAAGTATTCATTTTCTGCACACATAACATATATAACAAATCATTGGATTAATAAAGTTAGGAACAATTTAACCAGTCACCACTTCAACGTAATTGACATTATAAATTGGTTTATTCATAAAAAAAATATATTGAACACTTCCTGTATGAATTATTAGGTGGTCTTCGAAAAGGAAATTTTAAGGCGAATAGAAGCTCTAATTTTAGTTCTGATTATCATTTTTAACAATTGTTTTATTTGAACATAAAGGGCGTCACCTGCGTGAAGCGGAAACTGTGGTTTTTCTTGTAATAGATAAACTAGGATTTTCGACAAATCAAGTCGACTTCAGGTTAACACTTACAAACGCGCGACAATTGTTTTTAAGAGTTTTCATTTACTTCGGTAGGTTAAGATTTTATTTATCATACAATCTCTTCGCGTATTAGTATTTTTTACTTGTTTTGGTGGAATAGGCGGCAAATGCCAGTTCTTAGTTCTTATAACATTCACCTGCGTTCCAGTTTTACGCAGCAGACGCCTGTTTGTTGTGTATTTATTATTTATCGAATAAAAAAAAATTACGTGATTGTATGTACTTTTAACCTGCATGAGTTCCAAAATTATTTATGCATGTAGTTAGTGCTTAGAACTTTTTAATTTTTGTAAAGTATTTAAATATGTTTAGTTAACTATTGTGCAATGAATGAAATTGTATTTTCAATTTATTTTCCCATATTCATTTGTCCGCATAAAGTTAGCGTATTAAAGGTACCATTTAGAAATATTGTTTTAGTGGTAGGTATTGTTTATGTTATATTCGTCTCAGCAGAGTGGAAAACTTACTTTTGCAAATCGATGAAATAAGTATTTTGCCTATAATTTCCTTATTTATTACGTTCCTTGCTCAATTTTATAAAAGTACATTTAAAAATATATAAATAAAAACAGTAAATATACCGCGGAAAGTTTCCTAACAATGTTTTCTTTACATAATACCTTCTAAACGATATTCACAAAATATTTTGAAAAATAGTAATTTTGATTATTAAATATTTAAAGGCAGAGTACACCGAGGTTGTCGTTGGAATATTTAAAAATAAAAAGTCTTTTTTTGTTCAAAATACACAACAATAATAAACTAATTGATAGTTACACATCAAAAACATAAAGTAAATAGAATATAAAAACTCCGGTATTTCAGAGGGATGTACTATCCGCTTTCTTGCGTGCAGGTATGTATTACTTCCTTGAAGTGCATACTTTGACTGCTCCGGTTTCTGTTAGTCATAAGAACAATTAATGTACATTTTTAATTAAAATTGATATTAGAATAAAATTGAAAGAAAAATTGGTCTTAATTCGGTTGCTCTCGTGCTCCCCATAACATTGTATTAAAAACTTCCACGGTGTCTAAATTAAACAACAAAAATTTACACACTTGCAAGAAAATTGTACAACGAACGATAGGTATAAAACAACAAAATTATGTTCAAAATGCTTATTAGCCCGTCACGCGTCTTAGAGACATACGTGTCTCCAACTGCAGCTGCAGTTTCAACGTGCAGCTTTGTTTTCATACACCATTAAAAAAGAATATTAAAATCATCAGGGATACCTCGTGTCTCTAATACACATGACGGGTTAACGATACGGCAATTTGGCTACAATATATAAAAGTATAGTCACGTGCAAAGAAATATGGATAAAAATATTCATAAGAAATATTCACTGAACTCAAAATACTTTCATATTGTGCTGAATAAAAAATCCGTGTAGGCGCACGTTTAACGGGCAAAATAACAGCATTAACCATTCAACAAACGTTCACGGAGATTATTTTATTTCGCTTGATGTAATATAAACCCAAACAACGGCACCTACTTAATTTTAATTTATGTGCACGGTCAAGAACAACAAGCTTGATACGTCATTTGACACTATGCTTCATTTTTTATTTTTATGATACTAAGCGAAGGGACGAGCAAGTCATGCTCCAGGTAGTAAGCGACATGCCTATTCATAATGGTTGCAGTGCTACTCAGAGCTTTTAAATCACAAAGATCTGAGAGGCACTGCCATTGCGCCCGTCACCCTGAGACATAAGTTGACAAGTCTCACGTGCAAGTAATTTCACCAGCACCTTTCAAAAGCTGAACGCTGTAATGTTAGCATTACTGCTTGGCGGCAGATATAGATAAGGTGGCAGTATTTCCGTGGACGAAGTCATTCACAAGTAGCTCTACTTCTGTCTCTTACGTTATGTGTTTTTGACTGTACCTAACATTTCATTGTTTCGTTGCTATAAAATAAGTATGACCACTGTTAATTCAGTAACGTATTGTATATAATATTATGTCATCTGTATCCCATTGAATATAATATACTATTTGTTTATAGGTGAAAACTGAATGCCGCGAGTTCTCTACCGACTACTATCATTGTTAAGAAAAATACTTCGATAAGATTACTTATGTTAAGTGACGAATACGTAGCCAGGAAAAGGAAAAGTTTAAACTGACTTGGCTCCTTGACCTTTCCTTCATATGTTAAAAATTAAAAACAACAGCATTCGTAATACAAAACGGTCAAGTAGTCTTCAAAGTTTATCATAAGCTGAACTTGTTTTAATATTTCACAAAAAGAAACACTATTATAAAGTAACTAATACATTTTTTCCTGGCTACAATTAAGTGATTTTAAATTTATGCTTAGCTTATACGTACTCTTTTCTGTATTTACATAATTATATACTTTATGTATTTAGTGAACTTAAGTTGATAATATTATTAATTGTGTAGAGGCTTCCAGTTATGAAAGAGCGATATTTATATGACAGAAAAAGTTATAATTTAAAATAAAATGTTCAGTTTTACTTTGTTATTTTATTCCATGTTGTCCGACTAAAAGTTAAATTACCCAATGGAAATATAGGAAAACTTAAATAGAGCCTTCTCTTAAATCTTAGTTGGCTAGGAAAAGGACAAATTTTAATATAAGATAATTTTCAATGCCGTTCTCAATGCGTTCTCACGTGGTGGTGTGAAATATTAAAATCTTCGCAAGAGCCATCTACTGGGGTGTATATAAACCACAGAGGACAGGAGTACACTTAAAACATTTTTTACCCTGCCCTCTGCTGCGTCTTTCCTGAACCACTACCACACGCGAAACAATTAAAAAGTACTCGCATATCATAATAGGTGGCACTAGTTACGGTAAAAGTTTTCAGGGTGACCATTAAATGGGTACTATAACTAAATTGGGTAATTAAATTATGAAATGATGTATTATAACAGGTTAAGTACAAACGGGAACTAAAGTCGACGGAAACTTATTACCACACAGACGGTGCTGTAATGAATGACTTTGGCAAACAAAAATGAGTAGAGAAGCTTAGTTGAACAAAACAAAAATGAATAGAGAAGCTTAGTTGTACCTATAAAGGCCTTCACCCAACTATATGACAGTTATTAACTAATACAAAAACTTTCTTAATATTTATGATCCACAATGATCGTATATTATGAAGTAGGTACAAAATTTTTGCTACACCAATATGTGTGATTTTATTATTTAGTATGTATCTCACGAGATTCTGAAATACACTTAATTTTACAAAGTCATGACATAGTTATCACAATGTAATAGGCTCATTTTGGCACTAGTTTGTTATTACAACTTAACTAAAGATGTAATCAAACAATTTCACGAAAAACGGATTCAAAATATTTTTTTTTTGAGTTTGTGATCGTTTAAAGCGCAAATACATAAATGTCGAGTGCAGCTACATAGAACTATGTAAAGCTAATAAAAAAAATATACAAAAAAGGGAAATGAAGAAAATATTAATTTAAGAAGTTGGTTGTCGTAAGCGACTTAAGGACTAAGTAGTTTTTATTCTTCATGTGAATGGTTAAATAAGTTAGTATTTTTACCTAAACAAATTGAATCGGTGAAATGCAGCGATCAATACTTTGGTTATAATCTATTAAAAATAGATTTAGATTTATGTAACTGTTTTTGATACGTTGCAGTAATTCAAAATTGCATTATATTTTGGAATATAGGTACGTGAAAGTGATACGAATTTGTAATCTTCACAAACTTATCTGTAATTATTGGCGGGTTTTTACCATCCAAAAGTAGTAACACCAGGAACAGCTGTCAGATTTTCGCTAGAAACGTTGCGTGTTGTGAGTTTTATTTTGCAAACGAATTTTAGATTATTTTGATTGACTATTTTATATATTATTCGGTTTGAGATAAGAAGCAGTTTCGGTGTATAGTGTTAGTGTTTTATTTAATATTTTAAAGCTACGCAGCATGTGTTAAATAGGTTTTGCGAAGCGAACGGCAACCTACTTTGTTCGTGTTGACCTGACTTGGATGTGATTTTTAAAAGGTAACGGTTGCAATCAATTATTATTTTTATTATAATACACGTTTCGAAAAACTCACTTTCGAATTTTCTACTGTGATTTTAGGGTTTAACAAACATTTAACAGCTACCTTACAAAATATTTTTGTTAACGCCGCCTATCTCACCTGTACGTATTGACGGTTATCATTATTTTTTTTTGTACTTCTAGATATTTCTGAATAATAGCCGGCCTAAAAAAATATGTATATTTACATGATGTTAGCTGCTACTAAACGTACGTTGTTTTAATGTTTTCTTTAGTTTATTATTGAAGTTATCGCGATGAAGTTACGTGGTGATATTTACTCCCGAACGTTAATAATTTATTATCATAAAACTTCATTAGCGTGTACTTATGAAGATCACGAAGTGGCACAGTGATACTTCCTTTATATTACACTAAAATTAGACTGTTGTCACATGTAGAAGTTCCAAGATTTCTATCTACATAGAAGGTTACCAATTTATTGATTTAATTTCGAGTCATTGGCGTTTTGTTTTGTACACTAGTATTCCATCAGGGGCAGGTAAGAGTGATGTGCTTAAAAATATTGCATATTATCAATGATTGCTTCAAAAGGTTCAAAATTTACTGAATTGTCTCTGCTAGAGTGGCCTAAAATGTTCTTTTGGCAAAAGACAAGAAAAAGTAAGAGAAAATGTTACCTAAATTTTGTCCATTTTGCAAATTGCTCAAAAATCTATTTTATTGTTCAACAAACATCTCACAGTCTATAGCTACGCAATGCCCTCCTCTAAAACATTGTCAGATTATTTCACCTAACTTTTGTCAAGGATTTTACAAAAATTTCCTATTCCAAACACTGTATTTACACTAGATCTAATTTTATAAACAAATTTTTGAGGTCAGTTTGCATAATTAAAGTTGTTAATGATAATGAGTACATTCATTGTTGGATATGGGTTTGTCAAGTTCAGAGATAAAGCATAATTTTTCAAACATGCCAAGTAATGCACTTTCTCTTATCACATATTGCTGTAGATTAACTACTCTAAAAATAATGCATGACTGATATTTATCAGTCGTATAACAATATATATATTTTTTATTTATTTAGACAATAACAGTTCACAAGCCATGTACAACTTAACATTAATTTAATACTATAACACTCTTTAGCTTGTAACAGATGACAATTGGGCACAACATTGAAATTAAATAGATTTAGTTAAATATCCTATTTAAAAATAAAAATGAATGAGGAAACCATACATTAAAAAATCTACAAAAAATAAGCAAAACGAATGCATTTTGAACCTAGTTTTGAGACTTCATAGACGATATAAATGATTTGACCATTATGTTGAACCTCAGTGCTTGACTACTAACCTTATTATAACATACGAAATAACGGATCATTGTATGACACATTATATATTGTAAGTGGCACATAAAACAGTTTTAACTATTAATAGAACTTTTAAATAACTGTTAAATAATAAGATTTAAATAACAATAATAATAGAACTTCCAAAATTTAATGCTTCCGTTGCCATCCTCAAGAACATCTTATCAATTAATTTGTAACTATTTATTATGAAGAATTCTATTTTTGTCAGCAGCTGCATTTTATATGCACCAGCCTTTTTTCCCAAGCATCATGTAATACTTTGTGCTTTCCTACCATTTGCTTATAATTTTAAATTATAATTTAGCTGGATTGTTTTTATTTAAGAGCAAAGTTATAAATAAAACATTCACCATTCCTTAATTGGTGAGGTCAAGGAGAAGGAAGTGATAAATCTTTCCGGTACTAGGTCACGGGACAGAGTCCTTAAGACCCCATGTTTATTTTTAGGCCTTAACTTCTACCAAGAAGTGCCCTTCTATTGCCCTTCTATAAGTGCCCTTCTATCACCAGATAGAAGGGCACTTATAGTCTTTTATCATTGTTTTGTTTGAGATTTGTATGACCAGAATGTGCTGGAAGTTTCTGGAAAGTCTTCAATTTGCAGTTTTATTTATTTTGAACTCATTAAATTTACTAACAAAACATATTAATCATGATTTAAAAAAGAATGTTTGAGTTGATATGATTGAATAACAATTTTTTTAACATAATTAATCTGAGGATTAAGGTATAATAGTTTATATATAGAAGATACGGAATAATAAACATAAGAAATCATTCATAGAAGTAATATTGTAAACATTTTACTTGTGTTTCAAAATGACATGATTCATAAATAATGCATCTCTTTTTTTAATAAGATTGTGGGAGTGTATTGAGTCTTAACCATCTTCATATCCATTCGCGTAGCAGCTGCTACTATTGCTCATGGATGTATTTCCTATTTTGGGTTAAATTTAAATTTTAAGTCTTGCATTACTTATTATCTTAACATGCATTATATAACTAGTGTGTTTGTTTATAGTGTGTACTTAAATTAATTGGTTGCTTAGTTTAATACAATGATTGCCCTATGTGATCATACTCTGCCTTAATTATGATAAAATGTTGTTTATTGTAATAATGTAGCATTGTATGGAGCAGTGTTGGGAAATGAAGAACCATAAGTAACTGGTTCTCTGCTTGTGCAGAACCTGGCTGAGTAGACACCAGCAACATACTTATTTCTTTCACAAAGCATTCTTGATTG